ATCCCTCTTTTACAAAAACTGCTGTGGTGACCAAGGAAGGATGTTTAATAAGTTCCTTCTAAATATTATTTTTTTTTTTGCTCGATTTTCTCTTATTCATTATAAGTTCTGCTCTTGCACTGTGAGCAACTATGAAAGGTTTAGATTCACATAGAGGACACATTTTTTTTTTTCCTTTGTAGTAGTAGGGGTATGGGAAGCACATTTTAAAAATAGATTTATTGAGATATAATTAGCATATGGTAAAATATACATATTTAAAGTACAATCTGATAAGTTTGACATATCTATACACCCATAAAAAGAATCACCACAATAAAAATATTGAGCAATTATCTACCCAGCTGCATACTCAGGAAATGCAGAAAAGGAAGGAAACTGACCCAGCATATAGGCCCTGCCCAGACATGTAGCAAGAAGAAACTAGAGAATGACATATAGCCATGATGAGCTTTAAAGTACACTCACAAATAAAACATGCCCAGTGAGACTGTCCATTCAGATGAATGATGCCTTCTTTATTGTAATTAAGAAGACCATAAGAGAATGGAAAAGGAGATAAGCGTGAAGGGAGGAAGACGAGAAAACATCTTCCCACCTACACTCACGACAAGTAACAAAAAAACTCAAAATATATGTGAAGTTACTGAATCATTTGCAGAGGTACTATGCGATTTGCCCCCTAGAAAGTGGTTCCTGGGAAATAGTGTTGAGATGCTTCCAGGTGTGTCACTGTCTAGTTTTTGGGAAGTACACTTTCATTCTGTAACTTGTATGCAGGACCTCCATCATAAATCATGAAACACGCGTATGAAGGGCTGTCCCACATTCATGATCAATTCCCAAAAGCAATATTGAAGTGTTTTCTGTCACAGACGAACATATTCAGAGCCTCTAGTGTTCACACTTGCACTGTGAGGTCTGAATTAGCCTAAAAAGGCAAGAATAGGGATCGGAAGCAGGTTTTTGTTTCACAGTTAGAAAGCTCATGTCAACTTATGGTCATTGGTATCAATTCAACACCAACAGGAATCCCCAATTCACTGGATATGGTCATTTCTGCCTTCAAGCAGATAACCATGTTAAAATGTTAGTACCTCCATTTAATAATTAATCTGCCCAGGTTAGTCTCCTGGGAGGGGTTAGTACTGCTTTATTTGTGGGGTAACAATAGTCTCCCTACAGAACAGAGACCTCTGATTTGTCTCCAGATTACTGTTCCTCTCCTTGATTATGCCTGACCTCCTCCAGAACAGAACTCCGTCTTTCCTTTCCCAGTATCCTCCTATACAGAGCACTTTCCCTCCCCACTGGTTCCCTAGCTGTGCAAGTCTGCACCAAGACCACTTGTTGTCACCTTTCACTTTATTCCCCAGATGGAGGCCCCCAGTTCTCCAATGGCCAGTATGAAAGATAACATGAATGGAGCCATATTAAAATAGAACTGGAGTAGCTATTTTAGAGAAACTGCCCAGCACGTCTTATTTTACTTCACCTTCCAAACTGGACCAAACCACCATCATTCCAAGAAGTCAGTAAGAATGAGAATATCTTATTTGTAAAGACTGATGAAATTGAGCTTTGCCGATGACCAAATCACTAACCAATCAATGAAACACAATTCTAGCTGAATCTCAAGCCAGTCCATGAAGGACAAATCTAACCCTACCTCATCTAGCACCAATGAACTCTTCTTTAATACAACTTACCTTATCTTCCTCCCTTTTCCCCATATAAACCCTGAGCTCCTCTCCTGTAAAAGTTGAACACTATTTAAGGTTTTGCCTGAATTTGTTCTTCTGAATTGCAATTATTTTGGATCCCAAATAAATGCTTGCTTCTCATTTTTGCTTTTTATTTTTAGGTTTACACCCAGTCAGTGCCAGGAGCCAGAAGCCAGAGTTGGTGAATGTGCAGATATAGATGCAGCAAAACTCCAAGTAAGCATTCTTAGAAGCTCCACTAAAGTGTTTTCTTAGCACTAGCAGGAGTGAAAATGAGGACCTGTGGCCTTGGTAACAGGGTGAGATGAACTTAAGAAAATTTTGGCTATCGGAAAGATATCTAGAAATCTAGGCTCCTTTTATTCCTCCTCTATCCTCACTGCTGGTAAGGAGTGATATTCCCATTACGCTAGAAATGCAGGGATATGGCCCCTCTCACCTGCAAGCCTTTGTAGACAAAAAAAGGGGCCACATACTAAATCTGAAAAGCTCAGAGAGGCCAGCATGGTGGGTCCTACAAACTCAGAGAGCAAAAGTAATTACATAGGGTGGTCTGAACATAAAAATTCCTAACTAAAAGCAGATCATGGTGGGTAATCACATCCTAGGCCTGTAGCTTCCTTGACCAAGGTCAATTTTTATGTTAAGTGAGCCTGCCCATTGTCTTTTTGCATTTTAGATGACATACCTTTGAAATGTCAGAATAATCTCATTTTCCAAACCTCTCATAGCACACCCATAGCACCAGAACGCAAGACCACAGAACACCTCATTGTTATCTTGTTCCCTTATTGCTGGAGAGCTTGGAGTTCCAGTGACCACGTTCTTGCCTTATGCCCCGAGAAAGAGTTCAGAGGCAAGATAAATAGCAAGCAGGAAAGCACAAGGTTTATTAAAGAGAAAGTATACACTCAAGGGGAGAATGTGGGCAAACTCAGGGAGAGAGAGAGAGTCATGTGAGGATGTCTCCATTCTAGACTTTTGTTCTTCTTGGAGGTAAAGCCCAGAAATGTGGTACTGATGAAGCTTCGTTGTCTCCTCCCAGAAGGTGGTAAGCTCAGTTTTCTGCTCTTTCTTCCTTACATGGTGTTTCCAGAACTGTCATGGCGTCAGGTGCATGATGGGAGCCACAGTATCTGCAATGCAGATTACTTTATAATGATGTAAGTGGCCAAAAGTCATGGCTTAGCCAAAGATACGTAAACTGGAAAAGACTGGTTTGGGCTTATCTCCCCTTGCTGGGGCTAAAACAGGGGGAAGTCTGAAGAAAGGAAATTTCTGGAATCATATCCTGGAGGGCAAGGGGGCATGTCTGGGCACTCTATCCAGCCTCACCCTGAATACCACGTCTATGTGCTGTAAATGTTAATTATTAACTCTCCTGTACCCACCAATGTATATTCAATCTCAAAGATTTCTTTGCGTTGCTTCCTCCCACCCCCTTAATCTACCACCAATGGATTTCTTATAACCCTCTGTACATCTCCTCTTTTGATTCTAATATATAAAATAAACTGCAAAACTGACATTCTCCAGAGCATTTCCTCGATTTGTTGAGATTTTGCTTCCCATCAGTTGTCATCAGTTTGGTTCAAATAAACTCATAAACTACATGTTTGGACGTTACTTACATTAACACCTTCCTCTTGATACAGAAGGCTCCAGAGCTAAGAATTTACTTTACATACTTCCAGCATTTAAAACTGTAGTATGTAAAGACAATGACAGAACGAATCAAACTGATTGGAAGAAGGGCCTTTCTCTTTCTGTCACCTGTCTAGAGCCAGATGCAACTATAAACAGGGAATCAAATGAAATGATTACGAGATGAAAGAAGTCGAGTCTAATCTTTTTAATGGCTGTAAGGAAGAGTTGCCAATAACTGAGTAAATCCACAGGCCAGTTAGTCTGGGAACCTGTGAGACCTGCCAGCAAGCTCAGGGAGAGAGAGCCACGACTCCACAGCATGTCGTAAAGCAGAGCCTGGGGGATTTTTTTCTTGAGTGGACTCCAGGGGCAGAAAGAAGAAGACCTGGGGTCTGCTCCCAGGTATGCCACTAATTAGCAGCAGCCGTGAGCAAGTCACTTAACCTTTCTGAGATTCAGGTCGTTTCTCTGTAAAAGGCGGGGGTTACATTAGGTTAGGGGTAGCACATGGGTGGCACATACACCTTTACCTCTCTCATGCCTTTGATAGAGACTACTGTTACCTCATCACTTTTTAGAAGTTCTTCTACAGTAGCCTAGGCAGGTACCTCCAATTAGAGTTGGTATAAAAGCTGAAATCTAGTTATTTTCCCTCTAAAGTCCCTTCTAGCTTCTAAATTGAAGATTCCAACTTTCAAAGCAAGAGATGATCATTTTTCTGATTTAGTAATAACTCCTTCAAAAAAATGAAAATTAGGATCACAATTTTATATACTCTTCCTTTCCACCCTGAGCAGGGTCTTCCTGAAGTCCTATTGTTCTTCCTTCCATGTCACAGATATTAGAATTTGAGCTTCACCTTCTGTCAGTTTACCCAGCATGACAGTGTTCCCTGTAGTTTCCTGTTATCTGAAACAGCCCACACTTGTTAGTACATGCAGACTCGGGAAAAGGTCCTGGAACTGAAAATCTGCCTCACTAAGGGGAGGGCAGGGAAAAACCAAAGAAAGAGTCTGGCCACTCCAGTCTGGTAATTTATAGAGTTCATTAAGGGAAACTAACATACAAGGCATGTCTTGGGCAGCTGCGAGACAGAATAGATCCCTATGGCACTTGACAGGTGCCAAAGAATTACATAAGGTACAAGATGGGGATAGTCATGGGCATTAGCATGTGAATGCTATCAGGTACAGATATTACTTTCTTTCTTGACCAGGTCAGGACAACAGACTATTCCAGGAGCTAGTAAGTTAAAGAAGGCAGGTGAGGGGTCCTGATTTATGTTAGCATGAACATTTATTATGGTCAGAATGAACATCGATTATGATTAGTCTCTAAGAGGGGTTTGAGGGAAGCAACTTCTGTTCCAGTCCAGGTCCAGCTCCAGGATCAGACAGGTGTCACATCATGAAACAGTGTCTCCTCTAAAACACTTAAAAAGTTATACTTGGCAAAGAATATAATGAAAGGAATGATCTCAGGTTTCTAAAAGCCAAGAGTTAGAAGACGAGGCATTTAATTATTCCATTTGCGACTCACCAAAGTGAACCTGATTTACAGTTCTCGCTCCTGGCAGGAAAGCAATCACATTAAAAGGAACCTGGACAGGAACAGCTTCAGGAATCCAGGTGGTTGCAATTAAGTTTTATTGAAAGAAGCAGTGAAGTGGTTGACATGGGGCCCATCTCACAACCCACTTCTCACGCCCCCCCAAACCACTCAGGGGCAAGTCTCAGGCCAGGGAAGCATGTTTGTGTTGGATAGGAGCCCTAACTTGAGTTATTTCCCTCAGGGCAAGGAAGAAAGGGGGAGAGGCAGGTGACACAATAAGGTGGGGCACCTCACTGCTAAGGTCTCAGGTGGAGACCTCTACCGAAGCGTCAAAGTGGACCGGCACGTATGGGTTCCCGTTACAGGCCACGATGATGTGCCTCTTTTTCTGGCTGGTTCGGTATGCACAATTGGGGTATTTGGAGCCGTTTGTCAGGCGGCAGTCCGTAATGCTCATGCTGGAGCTGCTCTGGTAGCAGTTAGACTGCCCATCCTTACAGGTGACCTTTTCCTGGAAGCAAACAGCCTGGACATCAACCAAGGGCTCGTGCACAAAGGTGTTCACTGGCTTGCACCATCCTTTCGTCATGTTCCGGCGCCTCATCATTTGGTTACAGTAGCTGGAGCTGATGCTGGGGTAGCCGTCTGGGTCCATGTGCTGCCGAATGAACTTCTTGGCCTGTGATTCCCTTTCCCGGAAAGGTTCAACCCACCCCAGTGCCAGCAGCACTAGGAGTAGCAGTGAGAACAAGATCAGGGACTTCGCCTGAGCCATGGTGGCCTTACTCCCCTGAAGGAGCCTAGCCAGGAAAGGGAGAAAGGAGGAAAGCATCACTTTAGAGAGAAAGCCCCAGATCCCACCTGTGGCCTCCCTGGGTTACAGTCTCCCTTCAGGTCAGCCCTATTTCTGCGAGATTTTCCAGGTAATGAGACACTCACATATACTCTTCTCCAAGAGCATTTGACTCCCACTAGCTACAGCAAAGATGTCCTCCTCTCTGGGTGGTAACCTTGGAAGTGACCTAAAATCTTGGCAGTCCTGTCTTTAATTACTGAAGGCTTTTTGATCTAAAATACATTTGAAAAATAAAATGTATTCGTACCCAGTGCTCTAGTAGCTCAATAGAAGATCATTTTGAGTAAATCATGAGCCAAATTGTATCCCTGACACTACCATGACATTCAAGATCATGGCAGACAGAGCCCTGTTGTCCAACAATACAAAAGAAGCTCAACCCAGTGCCTGACACTGGCATCATAAAGGGACGCCATTGTATTCCAAAGAGAGATGCTCGCCTTCCCCAACGTGGGTCTGCTCCTTCTTCAACCTCATGGGTTCTCTGCAGCCCTAGTGCTTCAGACCAACTCCAGCTCTGCTCTCAGCTGATGTTTGCCTAACCCAAACTTTCTCTGTGCTATCCTCACCCACCCTGGCTCCCTCCTCTCCAACCCTCAAGCAAAAGCAGTTCCTGCATCCACCTCTTGGGCCACTTACCGGGGTCTCTGTATTGGACTGTCGGAGAAAGCAGGCTGGGGGCCAGTTTCTACAGTCACTAGATCCCTAGGGTGTGGACCTTATGTAGATTACAAAGAGGCTTGGCTTCCAAGAAAAAAAGGGTGGGAGGAGCATCTCGGTTTCAGTCCAGAGGAAAACAAGGGCGTTGCAAAGAAGTAGTGGGGAATTATCTCTTTTCAGGGTTGCTGGGTCTTTGCCTACAGGAGCCTTTCTTACCATGTGAATCACATCTCTCTGCATGTTCACAAAAAGCAGCAGAGAAAGCCACTACGGCACTGATGCTTGAATCCCAACCAAGTCCTTATTATCTCTTTGGGGGCCATTTTCACCAAACAGCCCTCTGAAGTTAGCAAAGGGCACATAACTTGTGATCACTGGAGAGGGAGGGAAAGGGAGGTCCTCTCTCTCTCCAGGAGTCCTGGAGTGGCTGTCTCTAGGTGGAAGGTTCTCAGATCTGGAGAAGGAGAGGGGGAATGTCTGAACAGATTGAAGAAGTAAGCCTCTACCTGACTTCACCCAGTTCTGGCCACCTCAATACTCCTGAGGTGCTGAAGGTGATTGCGTGAGAGTTGTTATCTACAGTAATCACTCATCTTGTAGGTCAGAGTTGAGTAAAGGAACAAAAGATAACCAAAACCCCAACCCCCTTTTGGAGAAAAAAATAGAGAACATCAAATTTCTTAGCAGAATTCCCTCCTAGAACAAGATCTGTTGTTGTGGGGTGACAATTTTGGTGCTTCTTAAGTGAAGATTACTATCAAAAGTCCCTCTGAATTAAAATGGATCTACTTTTGACCCAGCAATTGTACTTCTGGGTATTTATCCAAAGAAAAGCAAACAATAATTCGTAAAGATCTATGCATCCCTATGTTCATGGCAGCACAATTCACAATAGCCAAGATATGGAAGCAAGCTAAATGCCCATCAACAGACCAAAAGAAGTTATGGTTCATATATACAATGGAATATTACTCATAAAAAAGTGAAATCCTACCATTTGCAATGACATGGATGGACTTAGAGGTGATAATGCTGAGCAAAATAAGTCAGACAGAGAAAGATAAATACCATATGATTTCACTTATAAGTGAAATCTAAGGAACAAAAAGAACAAACTAATCAAAAACAGACTCACAAATACAGAGGACAATCTGGTGACGGCTGGAGGATAGAGAGTTTGGGGGGCTAGGAGAAAGGGGTGAAGGATTAAAGAAGTACAAATTAGAAGTTAATAGGTGGTCATGGGGATGGGGGCATGGCATAGGGAATGCAGTCAGCAGTAAGGTAATGACTGTGTGTAGAGTCAGATGAGTGATAGAGTAACCAGGGAGATCATTTCATAAACTATATAAATGTCTAACCAATGTACTGTATACTTGAAACTAATAATAAAATAAAATATAATGCTAAAAAAAACTTTCCAGAAATTATCTCTCTTGATTCTCATAACAATCCTATAATGCATTAATATTATTCACTTTTTATCTGAGTCTCAGCGATTAAATTACCTGCATCAGTATCACCAGTTAAAAGTTTCCAGACCTAAATTCTCTTCCTAAGCTACCTTCAGTCCATCACCCAAGTTTTTTTTAAAACTAGAATCAAGGCAAAAAAATTCAAGGTTAGCAGGTGTTTTTTACTCTTTCTTTTTTTTTATAAATATGTTTCACCCTCTCTCTATAGTTGCTTAAAACAAGTTTGAATATTACTTAGCTACATGTTAATGTTTTTAGCCTGTACTTTTTTAGATTTTGTTGGAGACAGAATTCTAAAGATGTCACCATGTATTCCATTCTCTGGTTATCAAACACTAACCTAGGTACTGAAGGGATTTTGCAGATATAATTAAGGTTATTAATAAGTTGATTTCAAAGTAGGAAGATTATCTTAAATTTTCTGAGTGGGCTCAATGTATTCACATGAGTCCTTTAAAAGCCAGAGAAGTAAAAGAAAAGGCCAGAAGAAATCAAAGCATAGCCACTCAATATGCAGTTGCTGGCTTGAAGATGGAGGAAGAGGCAATGCAGGAAGCCTGAGAAGAATTCTTCCAACGACCAGTGAGTTTGAAATAGGACCCTGCATCCCAGTGTGACCCTTACTGAATCCAGCCACACTGCGCTGAACGTTTGGCCTACAGAACTGTGAGATAATAAATGAGTATTGTTTTAAATTAAAAAAAAAAAAAAGTCCCTCTAATGTAGAGAGGGGCCAAGAGAACTAAATGTTAAATCAAGCTATATTCAGAGACTGTATGTAGTATGCCGATCAGCCCTAAGGCCAGGATACCAGACCACGTGGAAACCTACAGAACAAAGGAAGATTTCTGCTGGGATTACTAACAAACCATTTACCCACACTATGAAGGGAAAACAGTCTTTGAGTCATGCTCTACACAAAATAAATTCATTCATTTATTCCTTACAGCTAAAACCATGGGGAACCTATAGATCATAGGCTGGGAATTGCCAGCAGGCTTTTCTCATTACAAGATCTTAACTTTTCATACTATGTACCCATACCATCAAAGGAAAATAGAAAACAAAGTCTTAAACTGTAATTCATAGAAACTAAGAATGATACAAACTGAACTCTCCGAACACTGGTGTTCCCTCTCACTGTCTTTTCTCCGTCCCTCTCAGTGTCCTTTTCTTGGTTCCTCTATTGTCTCTGTCCCTCTGAGTCTCTCTCAGATTCTTTCTTTGCCTCTCAGAGAAGTCAATGCTCTGTCTGTGGAGCATTACCCCTTCTCTAATAAACTTTCCTTTTGACTCTAACGCTGACGTGCACTTGAATTCTTTCCTGAGCTCTGTGGAGAACCCTTTCTCTCTCTGTGCAGGGCTGCTCGGGGGAATTTGCCCGCTCCTGCATCACATCCATACTCTGGATTTAAACGACCTCAGTCCAGACTCTGGATTAGCACCTTGAGAGCTGGGCAAGTTACAGAACTTGATTTATTTCTCTTCTCCTCAGTTTCTCCTAAAATGGGGATGGATAATAATATGTACCTCTTAGATTTGTTATTAGGACAAAATATAGTAAGATATGCAGAGCACTTAAAATATGCTTGAAAGAATCTATAAATGGCAGCCCTGTGATTGTTCACATGGGATGAGGTTCAGATTCTCCCAAAACACACACACACTCAAGGAATCTGTTTAACACTGGTGGTCTCTGAATTGCTTTTTACAGGGGTTGGATTCAAGAACCTGCTCCGCCTTTGTTTTGCTAAAAACCTGAGCTGAAAATAATAGCCAGTTTTGAAATCCTGAGTAGGAGAAGAAAGAAGAGGAGAGAAGATAGGGACCTTGGTAGGAAGAACAGAATTCTTTAAAAGGAAGTTTTTAAATTGTTTTGCCCCATGATATCCAAGAACTCTTTATTCAAGTCAATGTTATTTGCTAATGTGTATGAATTTGGAAGCGAAGTGGGGCTAAGGAAGACATGGTATGGCAAGAGATTTTCGTTTCATCAGCCTTCCCACCCTCCACCCATGTTTTGTTTGTTTCTTAGTCTTTAAATAGTACTGTTATCATCTTGAGTGGTGCTGGGAGAAAAAATTTTCCCACACATTTAGAGGGCCTGAGAATTAACTGACAAAAGGTTAACAAGAAACTAGACAAAGTTTATTCATGTGCACATGAAGAAGCACAAGAGGGTGGAGAGAGGACAAATTTGAGTGTTCAAGGCAAACTCCCAAGACCACATCACATCGTGAAGCCACATCAGTGACTGGCTTATCCCAGGTGTGGATGGGAAAGTGCAAGGAAGTGCATTTTTCTCCCCCTCCACAGAATGCCTGGAAATTAATCTCTGAAATCCTCCTAGAGCCAAAGGCAGCACAGGAATATTAAAACTACACTGCATTTGTGGGCTCTGGGTCCCAAGGAACCTCCTTAGAGATCAGCTGTGTGGCAAGGGCCCACCCATGCCTCCCATACTTTTCTCTCAAGTAGCTATCTGCTCCTCTCCTGACTTAAGCACAGTTTTCTTGACTCCTCTTCAAGAGTGAGGCTCTGGACTCTCTGGAGCCAGCTCCATGGAGGCAAAGGTCAGTTTGGGTTGTAGTAACTTGGAGACTTTATGATCCTATGAAGCTAAAAAGTTTCTTAGGAAACAAACAGCACAGCCCCTGAAGCCTGTCGTGAGCTGTGCATTTACAGGCCTCAACTGAGAAACCCCTTCCCCAGTGAAACACTATTCAATCTTCTCCCTCCTCCTCATACCCCAACATTTCATCTCACATGACAACTACCAAAGGGCAAAAAGCTTTCAAGGCTGTGCAGGTTATTATTCCTGTTGATGATCCCCATTTCATAAGACCTCTCATTTCTCTTTCCAAGCCCATTTCACCCCCATACATCCGCTCACTTCCTCCTGTGTAGCCCAATTCCTAACAGACCATGGATTAGTACCGGTCTACAGCCCGGGGGATGGGGACCCCTGAGCTAAGCAATTAAATGAAGGACTTTGTTTTAGACCCAAGTGCTGAGAATTCTCCCCAACAAAAGCAGTTGTAATATAAACCAGACCTTGATAAGGGCTCCGAACTCCAGTACAGGCGAGGACAAGGTTATTAGGAAGCAATGGGAGAAAGGGGATGGAATAAAGGGAATCAGCATGAACTGGGAAAGAAAAGAGTTCTAACACCTGAGCCCTTGTTTGAGGCCAACTAGGTACAGGTTGCACTTTCCCAGAGGGCAGCTCTGATTTGTGTGGGTACCACCAAATGTAGTCAACATCTTGATCTCCAGAACACACAGAGAAGGGCCTAGTCTCCCATCTTCCCCTCCCAGCCTCCTGACACTATAACTGTTCTTCTCAGCCCAAAGGACAGATCACGTTCTCTCTATGTCCTCTTCCACTCCAAGTACCAGCCCTGGGTCTTCTTAAATGGAGGTCAGATACTGCCCAGAGTGTCTGAGGAAATATTGAGACTTGGGTGTCTGTGGTTCCTAATAGGAAAGCATCTAATTACCTTTCAGCTCCGTGATTCAGTGGTCTTTGGGTTTTCATTCATTTTAGGATCCTTCCCCAA